TTTTCTCTGTCCACCGGGTCCCCAAGCGAGTCTCGTGGGAAATCCCGCAGAAGGGCAGGTGCCCGGGCTTCCCTGTTGGCCAGCGAGTGGTACAAAGAAGGTGACCTGGTGTGGCACCGGCGGACCTGGAACGGGGCTTGTTTCCATCCTTACCCTTTCGTCCTGCCGGAGCCTGACCTCCCTAGATGGGGTCCGCGGACCAGCCGAAGCTGAGAGCCGTAGACATTGGTTCTCTTCAACGCTCACCCTTCTCTCCTCCTGCGTGATTTCGTCCCCAGAAGCAATGTCCTAAACTGTTTCATCGGCGACTTGCCTCCCTGAGCGCCGCAGAGCTGGACGGGTCTTCGGGGCCCCCTCGCTTCCCTTTCATAGCTGAGGACACTTGAGATCCCCAGGGGTGAAGTAAGTGAGCTGGCCCAGGACAGAGCCAGTGGGAAACATCTATAGTCAGAGCTTAGCATCCCTGGCCTTGGTCCCCCGTGTTTTCAGCACCCCTTTCTCCCAGCCTGTCGGGGACCTAGGGGCACTGAGGCCTGGCGCTTAAGTGACTCGGTCGGATGAACACCTGGTCGGGGGCAGTTTGAGGGCTGGAGCTGGACTCTCTTGCCTCCTCGTCCCGTTTTCCTTCCTACCACGGGGGGGGGGGGAGTTTGAGGGGGCATTGAGCCCCGTCCCTGAACTAAGATTTTTTGTGATCGGGAATAGAAAAGGGCTGGAATGACAATTGACCGATACAGATAAGTCCATTAAAATGTTTTAAGCCTAGGGATTAGGGTATTGATTTGGGCAGTAACCAATTTCCCTGCGAGTCATCCTTGAACCTGAAGGCTTCCTCAGGGAAAAGTACCTTGTTAGGCGTTTGAAAGCCGGGAGGGGGAAAGTGTAGTTACCTTGGAGGAGGGAGGGACGTTGGTCTGAATGCGGGGTTCTGTGTGTGCTAGTCGCCCCCACCTCACTGTACGCACATTCGTCTATTGTTACACTGTGAGTACTTACTCTAAGCCCTTTGCTAAGCTCTTCATAATATTGCCTAACATTACCTTATATGCCCCGCCTTCGGGAGGTATTATCCCTGTTTTACAAAGGAGGGAACAAAGCCTCAAAGGAATTAAATAATCTTTTCAAGATCAGGGCTCGTAAGGGGAGCCCAGGTTTAGCTTCACAGCTGCACGAAGCACGTCACTGCCGCGCTGTCATCCCACCTTGCCGCCTGCTTACACGCACGTCTCCCCCAGTGAACGGCGAGCAAGCTTGAGGCCAGGCGCTTGGCCCGTTGTGTTGGTGGCTGTGCCCCCAGCATCTAGAACGAAAGTCCAGCCCATGAAGTAGGCGCCCATTAAACAGGTATCAGGTGAATGAATGGTGTCTGGCGTAGCTTTGTATCTCCGGCGCCTGGAAAGAGTGGGTGGGAGTCGGTGGTCAGTGAGTTGGTTTCTCTGGTGAGGAACCTAAGCAGAGAGACAGGCAAAGCGGATGGGGTATTTAGGGAGTTCTGTGACCCTCGTGCTTAGGGCGTCTGATTTTGGTTTTCCTGTCTGGTAGCACTGACAGAAATTTTGCTCTCCGAAAGTGAGGCCCTGTCCCCAGAGTCCATCACTCTGAGACTCTGAAGGCTTTGCTGAGGAGGACGTAGGGAAAGAGACTTGGACAAGGCTTAAAAATTGCAAGGTCACAGCCCCCTAAAGCGCCCAGAGCTGTCGCTAACCCTGTTTGCTCTAATTTCAGGAGTCGGAAGATTCAGATCCGAAATATTCCACCCCAGCTTCGATGGGAAGTAAGTGATATGGGGACTCTGAGTGGCGTTGGTGACAGGGAGGAGACTGGGGACCAGGAGTCTGAGTCAGCCTGTGTTTGGCAGAGGAGACCGGGGAGGTGTGGTTGGGGCTCGGCCAGGGATGCTGAGGGGAGGTTAGTTGGGTCTCTTCCTTGACCTGTGTTGGTCCTTTGGAGTTTTGTCCCTGTAGTGAAGGAGGTGGGAGGGGTGCTCCTGAGCCCCAAACTTCCTGATGACAGAAGTTGATTTAGGGGCCCAGCTGTCCCAGGTCTGTGTCTAAAAAGGCGCTTAAATTCCTCTTTGAGCTTATTAAGTATATGTCTTGTAAAAAGAGACCCTGGCAGGTCACCACCAGCATCAGTACCCCAGGGAGGACAAACCGAACAGGCAATGCTGCTCCATGCCCACTCAAGGCTCTGCCGGGGCCCCAGTGCTGTGGGATGAGGGGTGTCCAGGGGCTGGCCTCGTGGTAGTTCCTGGGATGAATGCTCAGAGTAACCTCCCTCCCTCTGCCATGCTCCCAGGTCCTGGACAGCCTGCTCGCCCAGTATGGGACGGTAGAGAGCTGTGAACAAGGTAAGAGTGGGCAGCGGTGGCGGGGTGCGGTGGTAGAGGAGTGGGTGTTGGAGTACTTTGGGGGATCTGCTCCCCCTCGTTTTCCATGAGCAAGTCTCCTTGGCATACAAAAAGAAGACAGGCGGAAGGTGGTGCAGGGGGAGCTACACTGGACTCGGGGCCTGGCATGTGGTCCCAGCTTTGGCTCAGCTGCTTATCGTGGAACAGGCTTCTCCTCTATTCAGTGGGAGACTTGAACAGAACCGCTCGCTCGCGTCAGGAGGTTCCCACCCGCCTAGGGAGAGTCAACCACGTCTAGGAACCATGCTCCTAGAGCTGCCAGGGTTTTAGAAGGAAATGGTGCGTTTATCCTGGGTAAGTGTGCGGCCCTTTTTCTCTGAAAGCATCTCGAGTCTTTATTTTTGGCTGCAACGACCTGCTGGTCGTCTGCTGCTGTTAGAATCTCCGATTGTCCGCTCCATAGCTTTGGTCAAAGGAAAAAAGGAGATTTATGACTGTACTACGCATCGACAGGCAGGCAGAGTCTTTCAGAAGTGGGCCTGCAGCAGAAATGATAAAGAATTCTAGATTATAAACAATTTGCTATGATTTCTAAGGCTTCTCCATTGTTTAAGGTTACACATTTTCTTTTTTTTTTTTTTTTTAAGATTTTATTTATTTATTTTTAGGGGGGGAAAGGGAGGGAGAGAGAGAGAGAGAGAAACGTCAATGTGCGGTTGCTGGGGATCAAGGCCTGCAACCCAGGCATGTGCCCCGACTGGGAATTGAACCTGTGACACTTTGGTTTGCAGGCTGCGCTCAATCCACTGAGCTACGCCAGCCAGGGCAAGGTTACACATTTTCATAGGAAATGAACTAAAATCAAATGGAATGATTTAGGCTGGATATAAGGGAGAGCTTGGTCCTTAGGTAGATAAGATACAGTTTGAGTTTGTAGATCTTTTAAGATTTTATTTATTTATTTTTAGAGAGGAAGGGAGGGAGAGAGAATCAATGTGTGGTTGCCTCTCACATGGCCCCCACTGGGGACCTGGCCTGCAACCCAGGCATGTGTTCTGACTGGGAATCGAACCTGCGATGGTTCAATGCTTTGGTTCGCAGCCCGCGCTCAATCCACTGAGCAGCGCCAGCCAGGGTGAGTTTGTAGATCTTTGAGAAACCGAGATAATCACCTAGTCAAGATTTAAATATCCATCTCCGAATTCTTTGTGGAAAGGCCAAGCCATAAATCATAAACGATTAGTATCTGTCTGCCTGGAGGTAAAGGGCCGAACCTATCACACTGGTCCTCTCCTGCTCTGACCCTGCAGCTTGCCTCTCGTTGTCATAAACCCCAGGACTCACTGGTAGCCGCTGCCCAGTCCTGTTCACGGCCAAGGCTGACGGCCGAGTTACTGCTGAACACACAGATTGAGCAGGGCTTAGCCCCCGTGGGAGTCCAGGGTTCACCCAGGAGCTCTAACACCGGATCTGGAGGTGGCACCTGCTCCCTGGAGAGGAGAATGGGAAACTTTTTAAGTTGTGGGGCAAGACAAGAGAGTCTTCAAGTCTGTTCAAATGTTGCTTTTTAAACAAAATTCCTTCTTAGTATTCTTTCTAATTGGCTTATTAAGCTCCACGACGTCAGTTGTTTCATTCACTACGGTTCCACTTAATGAGAAGACGATTCTTGCAGAATCTTCCTCACCACTGAGATGGGAGAGCTCTGCTGATGAAGGCCAGAGGAGTTAAGAGTGTGCCCTGCTTGAGGTTTTGTGGCCAGGTGCCTTCCTTCTGTATTGGCGGGGTGGGGTTAGAGGCTTGGGTTTTGTCCGTGTCCTCCACCCCAGGGTTGAGCAGGACCGGGGGATCCAAAGTCACAGGACAGTGCTACATACAGCAGGCTAATTTTATTTGTTTAAAATGAGAGGTATAGCCCTGGCTGGTATGACTCAGTGGACTGAGTGCCCGCCTGCAAACCAAAGGGTTGCCGGTTCAATTCCCAGTCAGGGCACATGCCTGGGTTTGAGGCCAGGTCCCCCGTTGGGAGTGTGCAAGAGGCAACCATACGTTGCTGTTTCTCCCTCTCCCTCTCCTTTTCTAAAAATAAATAAATAAGATCTTTTTTTTTTTAAATGAGAATTATTCGTGCCCGGATTGCCTGAAATTCTGATGTCCGACCCCTTCTCCCTGTAGGAGAGAATGTATGATCATTAAATGAAAATCAAAGGGCCGCTCATGAAGGGGCGGGGGTTTGATGGGGTTAACGGCTGGTGCCCTGAATGCAGGACGCCCCAAACGAGTGCATTTCCACTGCCCAGGTGTCTGGAATCCCCCCGGGAAATCCTTTCCCTGGAGAAGCTGCAGGCGTCTGTGCTCCTTCCCCACTTCCCCAGACCCCGCAGTATTCCCCCCGCGCAGTCACCCGCCTAGCTGGGTCATAGTGCGCATGCGCTCGATCGCCTGCGTTCGATAGCCGTGTTCTTGAAGACAGGCCTCTCAAATGGGTTTGGGTGTTGCCCAGATCTCTTCAGCCATATCCTTAAGGACCAGTTCTTGGGATGTTTACTTCTATAAATTGCTAATCTTAGTGTGCGTTGATTTTTAACTAGTTTAACTTTCCAAGGGTAACTGTCTCCCGAGAGCGACCAGCTGTCTCACTGCCGGGGTTTTGAGTGCCCAGCGCTCGTGGGGGCTGGGAAGGGACGTCAAAGGGAGACAAAGGAAGGAAAATGCAAGAAGATGAACTTCAGTTTTCTAGGAGTTCTGATAAAAAGGGTCTGAAGGGGAACTGTTTGGCCTTGTCATTCAAGTATTTCAGAAGCTCCAGGTGGTTCACCTTCACAAGATGTAAGGACGGTCTTTTAGCACTCCAGATGCACTGGTGGCGTCTCTGGGTCTCTGGGTCTCTGGGTCTCTGCTCTAACCCGGCCTCTGTTTTGCCCCCCCCAGTGAACACGGAGAGTGAGACTGCCGTGGTGAACGTCACCTACTCCAACCGGGAGCAGACCAGGCAGTGAGTAGGCTGGAAAGTGGGGCTCAGAGGGTCCTTGTGGGCTGTTGCTGGGTTGTTGGTTCAGGAATCTCACAGGTTTGGGAGCAAATGGCCCCAAAGGGAGGGCCCCAAAGAACTCCACCGCCCTCCCGCACCCCTCCCCAAGGTGGGACATCCTCTGTAGGAGGAAAGGTTGGCTTCTGGGAGATCTCTAGTGGCCTGAGAACTTCAGGGCTTTGCCGTGTTGATGACGCCACCTAGTGATAGCGAGGAGGAACTGCTATATACTTTTTAAAAAGATGAGTTAACTGGGATGTGGTGGGGCAGACATTTTACTGCAGTGATCGTGGGGAGCCCAGTTTATGCTTGCTGGGGTCCTGTCAGTCCCCTTACACCTACTCTTTCTAGCCCCTTATCCCTTTGGTTGAGCGATGAACACTTCCCACCCGTTGGTCTTGACAAAGTAACTACATGTTACACATTCACCCATTTATATCTCTGTAGACCCTGTCATATAGGCCTTTTGCTACATTTTGCTGTTGATGGCTTTCTTGCTTCGTGCTGCTGCCTCTGTCCTTTCTGTTTCCTCCAGCTCTGGCTCAACATCAAAATCCCACCACTTCCTCAAATACCGTTTTATTTTAAACGTCTTCTGGGCTCAGACTTTTCTGGAAGCTACTACTGCCCCTGGTGGCCAACCTGTGGCTTTTAGCCTGGCTTGAAAGAGGCATCCCCACGGGCTCACTCCCCCGCTGCCTGTAGCTGCCCTGCTCACAGGTAGCTGCCCTGCTCACGTCGCTGGCCAGTGACAGGTCTGGGGGTGGACGGGGCTTGGCCCCTCCCTTCAGTGCTATTCATCTGCTTTGCAGACGCCCTGGATATACTTAAAACTCCCGCTTCCATGTGGCAAGCGAGCTATTCTGTCTCCAGCTCTTAACTTTTTTTCCATGTAGTTTCCTTAAACGTAGAAGGTGCCAGACTCAATAGTTACAAAGACAAATCTTGTGAATTCTTTTTATTTATTGTGTTTATTCATTTATCATGAGGCACATGTGATTCTCACATGACTTGTAGTAGGTAGTTTTGGCTAAAATTGAAAGGCTGGCCCCAAATTAGTGGGAGTAACCAATTTACTTTCCCTTCGATATTTTACGCCGTTTAGACTGGAAGGTGCTCTGAGGTGGAGGTGGGAGTGGCGGGCAGGCACGTAAGCCCCTTTCTGGGGTGTGCTCTGTGCTGTCTCCCCGTGGAATATGCTTGGCGCACGGAGAGCGCTTGGTGTGAGTGGCGTGGGCTGCAGCGACCAGGGGGTTCTCTCTCTGTCCGCAGAGCCATCATGAAGCTCAATGGCCACCAGCTGGAGAACCATGCCTTGAAGGTCTCCTATATCCCCGACGAGCAGATCGCACAGGGTCCCGAGAACGGGCGCCGCGGGGGCTTTGGCTCTCGGGGTCAGCCCCGACAGGGCTCGCCGGTGGCTGCCGGGGCCCCGGCCAAGCAGCAGCAGGTGGACATCCCGCTGCGGCTCCTGGTGCCCACCCAGTATGTGGGCGCCATCATTGGCAAGGAGGGCGCCACCATCCGCAACATCACAAAGCAGACCCAATCGAAGTGAGTCCCAGCTGCAGGGGGCGGGGATTGAGATGGGTACCAGGAAATCGTGGTGTGCCCCTGGGGGGTGGGAGCCTACTGGAAGCACCCTGAGGGGCCTCAGTGGGAAGTGTTGCCTGGGGCATGTTCCTTCTTTTCCATTCAGGAGTCCCTGCTTCCCGGCAGGAGCGGAGGTGGCGTGGGCACGGGTGCACCCTGTGGTGGCAGTTTCAGGGCCTTGTACCCTTGTTAGTAAGAAGGGCTCCGGAATTTCTCGTAGAAAGTCCCAGCCAGCAAACCTAGTCTCGGCCAGTCGGTCATCCTTTGGTGCTCTGTGGTTTTAGCGCCACTTACTGGGGTCGGGGGCGGAGGGGGGCTGGTCAGCCTGGCCGGAGTCCGGGCCCTCAGCATAATGGGTGAGAAGTCCGTCCCATCTCCCCGTCCACCACAGCCACCCCTCTTCTGTCATCTTTACAGCTGGCCAGTGCACTCCGGGGACGAGCAGGGCGCGTCATGCCCTGATTCATAATCCATCCTCTGTTAGCTACTCCTAATCTGGGACCGTGCGCCTTCCCTTAGTACTTGTTTCAAGGGGGAAGCCGAGAACACACAAGTGAGAGCTGCAGGCTGTTGGTCCCCGGCCCTGCATGCCCACGATAGATGCCATCTTTCCTCTGCCGTCTCCAGTTCTGCCTTCGATCGACCTTATCCAAGAAGAGCAGCCTGTGTGCCTCCGATTGAGGAGAGGTCGGGGGAGCCCGAGAAAGACCCGGTTCCCCCAGCAACCACTGACTGACGGTCCTTGTCCTTGTCCTCAGGATAGACGTGCACAGGAAGGAGAACGCAGGTGCTGCAGAGAAGGCCATCAGTGTCCACTCGACCCCTGAGGGCTGCTCCTCCGCCTGTAAGATGATCTTGGAGATCATGCATAAGGAGGCCAAGGACACCAAAACGTAAGGCTTTTCGCAGAATGTGGAGATCACCACCTTCCCGAATCCGACACACTCTTTATCAGCGAGAGTTGGGAGGTAGAGGAGACACAATTGGAATTGTGCAAAAGGTTATAAGCTGAGAAAGGGAGTGGGGGCACCTGTTATCCCTCCAGAAATTCTGTGCACTTGGAAGCATGTGTATCCGAGTGCACGTGTGTGAGTGCACGTGTGTGTTAGTGTAAATAGGCTCACAGTGAATGCACTGTCTTATAGTTTGCTCTTTTTGTTTCATGCAGGAGCGCATACTGAGCCAGCTCGTTTGTTTTATAGCTACAGAGAATTCTAGTGTGGCTACTTTGAAGTGCACAGTTGGATGGTTTTTTATGTGCACAGACCTGTAAAACCATCCCCACGATTAAGATAGTGAACATATCCATTGCCCGAGGCATTTCTGTGCCTCTGGGCAGCCCGTCCCTACGACCACTTTTCTCTATCACAAAGTAGCCGCTGATCTGCAGATTTTAGCACCATTTTTCTAGAATACCATTTTGACCTGTGGTTGGTCCTGAAGGCCACACTGGGGTGGCATGGTGGCTGAGTCTCCACGTGACCCACCAGTTAAGGAGCTCTTGCCCCTCACTGCTTTCCCTGTCTCTCGAAGGGCCGACGAGGTCCCCCTAAAGATCCTGGCGCATAATAACTTTGTGGGGCGTCTCATTGGCAAGGAGGGGCGCAACCTGAAGAAGGTGGAGCAGGACACGGAGACAAAAATCACCATCTCCTCGTAAGGCACTCCCCAGCGTTTCCTTCCTTGGGAGTGGGCTGCCTGGGCGGGGGGTGGGGGGGTGGGGTGTGGGGCTGGCCGTATACCATTATTGAGTCTTAATCCTTGCCCCTTAAGTGGGATGCAGTTTCTTCCTATTGACGAAGAATTAAAGACGTCGTGGAGAACATTCCTTTCCATCGGGGCCGAGGTCGGGGTGCTGCCTCCTCGGGCCTCTGCCCTTTGGGGAGAGAGCCTGCAGCCCGGAGCCAGGGCTTCGGGGTTTCAGCATGGGAGTCAGGCTGTGCAAAGGGGACAGAGCCAGGTCCTTTTCTGAGGACAGCGCCTGCGGTGGCCTGCCTGTCTGGGAAGCACTGAAGTTAAGAGGGTGGCGAAGCTCCTTTTCCTCTTTGAGCTCCGTGCGTCTTCATTTCATCAGAGACTTGCTGGTGGGCATGGTTCTGCTCCGTCCCGGAACGGCACAGGAAGTGGGTGGCCTGGAACCACCGGGGAAAGGAGCATTGTTATTGTGTGGCGGGGGGGACGGCCTGTGACTGGACTCCTCACACTCAGAGGGGTTTCAGTTGGGTGTTCTCCTTGCCCTGCACCTCTCCCTGCCCTGGTTACAACCCAGAGGACAGGGAGAGAGCTGTTGGGCAGAAGTTGAACAGCTTGCAGAAATGGAGCAGAGCCTGGACTTGGCCCCAGCCAGGGCCGGGGCCTGTCCTGTGAATGGAAGGGTGACGCCGCTCTGCCCCCGCCTCCCCACCCCAGGCTGCAGGACCTCACCCTCTATAACCCCGAGAGGACCATCACCGTGAAGGGGGCCATCGAGAACTGCTGCAGGGCTGAGCAGGAGATCATGAAGAAAGTTCGGGAGGCCTATGAGAATGACGTGGCTGCCATGAGTGTGAGTGCCAGGCACCTGCCTGCCCTTCCCCGGGCCCCGGCTGCAGCTTCGCGGGCCACCCCTGCGGGTGGGCGTGCCAAGCACTGTGTGGCCTTGGAGCGCTGGGCTTTTGGACCTCGATTCAACAGAAGAAAAGGCCTTTAAATTTAATTTGTAGGGGTTCTTCGTTTGCTTCTTGGGGTGGGAGTTTTACTCTTGGGCTTTGAGGTCTGTGAGCATCCTATAATTATGTGTGAAGTGTGTGTGTGTGTGTGCACGCGTGTGTGTGTGTTAGTGGGTAGACGGTCCATCACTTCCATCTGATTTTCAAAGGCGGGCACGGGTGTAGGGTAGGTAACCAAAAAGGCGAGTCCTACAAGAGAACTCACGCAGAGACCTGTCTCTGCCGCTCCTCACTCACGCAGGCATGCTGCAATACACAGCTGTGAGCTTGTCCTCTGCCTCGGAGTGAGCCGGGGCTGGGCTTCATTTTTTCCCTTTTTCTTTATTTTAGATTTCATTTATTTATTTACTTATTCCAAGATTTTATTTATTTATTTTTAGAGAGGAAAGGGAGGGAGAAGGAGAGAAAGAAACATCAATGTGCGGTTGCTGGGGGCCGTGGCCTGCAAACCCAGGCACGTGCCCTGACTGGGAATCGAACCTGGGACACTTATTTATTTATTTATTTTTAGAGAGGATAAAGGAGGGAGAAAGAGAGAGACACATTTATGTGAGAGGGAAATGTCGATCGGTTGCTTCTCGCATGTGCCCTGACCAGGGATCGTGCGGGCGACCTTTCACTTTGCAGGATGACACCCAACCGAACCACACTGGTCAGGGCCAGAGGATGGACCTCTGACAGAAGAGCCAGTTGGCTCTTCCGGTTGGCGTTGCTAGGTCTCAGTCCAGTGAGCACGCCGTGTCACTTACAACGGCGCACCCTAAGTATATACATATATGGGAAGAACAGATGGCGGGAGGGTGTTTGTGTAAATGCATGTAGTTCTTCTGTTTTTGGCCTGCTCTCTCTGGGGGTGCTTGCCCTCTCGGTTCAGCCAGGCCCGCACTCTGGGGACCACCAGGGCCCGTCAGAAGGAGCTGACCCTCCCCTTCACTCCCCAGCTGCAGTCTCATCTCATCCCCGGCCTGAACTTGGCCGCCGTGGGTCTTTTCCCAGCCTCGTCCAGTGCAGTCCCGCCACCTCCCAGCAGCGTCACCGGAGCTGCGCCCTACAGCTCCTTCATGGTAGGTGCCAACGGGCCTGGCTACGGCCCCCCTGCCTGGGGATTTGCGGGGAGGGGGAAGGGGGTCTGAGGCTGCTCCTCTTACATTGTTCCCAGCCCTTGGTGACACTTGAGAACCTCGACTCCGTGGAGGGCAGTCTCGGATGCTGGCAGCACTCTTCCTCTTTTCTCCTCCTCTTCCTCTTGCCCAGCTTCTTCCCTTTATCCCTGCTGGGCATAGGGAGAGCTCAAGAAGATGTAGCCCAGGTTGGCCGCTGGGTGCCTGCGCCCCTTTCTCCCCAAGGATGCATGGCAGGGGTGTGGAGGGGCTCCGGGCCGTGGCGCTGGGCCCGCGGTGATGACGTGCCTTGTCTCGGCAGCAGGCTCCAGAGCAGGAGATGGTGCAGGTGTTCATCCCTGCCCAGGCGGTGGGCGCCATCATCGGCAAGAAGGGGCAGCACATCAAGCAGCTCTCCCGCTTTGCCAGCGCCTCCATCAAGGTGATCTGCCCTGTGCTCCTCCGGGTCCCTGACTGGGAGCGCTGTGCTCCCACCACCCTCCGCCTCTGCCCCCGGGCGCCCCGTCGGGCTGGTGTTGGGGCCTTTGGCCCATGGAACGGAATGGCAGAAATCCTTCGCACGGGACAAAGCTGGGGTCTCTGCAGACAGGCTAGGCGGGGGGTGGCAGTATTGTAGCCTGGAGAAAGAGGTTAGCTTCTGTCGAATGCTGACATGCGTTCAAGTCCCCGTTCCGAGGCTATGGGTCCTGAGCCTCAGTTTCCTCATCAGTATAGCAGATGTTAGAGTACCGCTGCAGCCCCTGGCTCAGTCGGTGTCTGGTGGGCAGTGACGGCTCAGTAAACGCTAGCGGCATCTTTATTTGCCTTCCCTGGCCCGGCCCGTAGAGAGAGGAGGGAGACCTGGCTCTGGGAAACAGCAGTGCCATTGAATTTCCAAGTCTAAATCCACTTGTTTCGGTGATCTTCCGGTTTTGCTGAAGAGCTGTCATTGCTCCCCGGGGAAGTGCGGTTGCTGCCCTCCCTTCATTGGCCGTCTCCTCCGTGCCCTCTGCTTGGCAAGACCTCAGTGGGACCCCCGCCCCCCAGGACAGTGGGTGGGGGCCCTGCTTAGATAATGTCACTGAAGCAAACCCACTCAGACCTTCGAATCAGTTTTGGTGCAGGGGCAACGACCTTGGGGTTTGGGGTCTTCTCCCTGCCCTCCCGTGTCCTGAGAAGCGGGTGGTGGGAGTGGGGCGGGGGTGCGAGGCCTGGAGCGGTGCAGAAGGGCGCCCCCGTGACCAGCCTTTGCTTTCCAGATTGCTCCTCCTGAAACTCCAGACTCCAAAGTTCGTATGGTCATTATCACTGGACCCCCAGAGGCCCAATTCAAGGTTCTGATCTTTGTGGTTTTTTCTAAGCTGGACGCGTTGGAATTGATTCGGGGTGGGGGGGCGGGGGTTGGTGCAAACCTGCATCCAATGTTTAAGCTTCCCTGCAGGATGTGGGGCTGGGGGGCTGCTTTCACACTGGCCACGGACCTCATGCCTGTTGACTGCCACCTCCCACGTGACTGACTTCTGGGGGGTCGGCAGGCACGGGGGAGAGAAGGAAGTCCGGGGCTTCTTCCCGGTGCTCTGCCTCAGTTACTAAGGAAGGCCTTCGATGCCCGATTCCCTTCTGGCCTTTGTGTCTCTGCTATATCCCTGGGTTCTCAAGCCTCTGGTCAGACAGCCAGAGAGGTGATGGTTACCGTAGCCTGACGAGGATGGAGAGCGGAGACAGTTCTCCAGGCAGCGTCGAGTGACCAGTAGCCCGTTCTCTGAGCGGCCCGCTCGGCTGCCGCTGGGACCTGAACTGCTAGCCACTGCCTTGTTCAAATAGATACAGTTTTCCCAGACTCCCACAGGTCTGGGTTATAGCCCGTTTTTCCAATCTGAATACGTTCCTCCAGGAAGCACGCGTGTGGTTACTCTGCCCAGGTTCTCCCGTACAGATAAGCCAGGGGGGCACTGATGGGTCAATGCCGTGGACCTTTCACATTACCTGGTCTAGACGGTTGATGCCCCTCGAGGGAAGGGGGCGGCTCGTGGGCCAGAACAGGGTCGGTGGGGAGCTTGGGGGCTGCGCGTCGTGTTTTGTCCTGTAGGTGTGGCCCGATGATTAACGGTGACCTCCTCTTCTCAGGCTCAGGGAAGAATTTACGGGAAACTCAAGGAGGAGAATTTCTTTGGTCCCAAGGAGGAAGTAAAGCTGGAAACCCATATCCGGGTACCAGCGTCAGCAGCTGGCCGGGTTATTGGCAAAGGTGGCAAAACGGTGAGCTGTGCGGGCCACTTGGAAAGTTTTGGACCTTGGCGCCCAAACCCGGTGGCTCTGCTCTGGCCCGCGTCGCCCACCCTCAAGACTTCCAATTTGTCCATCTCCTTGATCCTGCTCCCCAAACTCAGCTTCTGACTCCCAGTTTCCTCCCCCCGGCCCCCCCCAGCTAGTCACCAGCCTCTTGCCCCTCCCTCTAAGCCCACCCACGCTTTCTTAACGGCAGCTTGTGCTCCTCCGCCCACCCTGCCTGCAGGTGAACGAGTTGCAGAATTTGACAGCAGCCGAGGTGGTGGTGCCGAGAGACCAGACCCCCGATGAGAACGACCAGGTCATCGTTAAGATCATCGGGCACTTCTATGCCAGCCAGGTACCCAGGGCAGTCCCCATCCCAGGAGGGGGGCGGGAGCCCAGGGGTCAGAGCAGCAGGGCGGCAGAGGCTGACCAGCGGGACCTGGCGAGCCCCGGGGACGCTTCCTGTGTCCGGCCGGCTCCTTCTTCCGGGCGCAGGAGTCACTCCCCCCGAGACTCCCAGGGAGAGCGGGGTGTTGCGCGCTCTCTGTTAGTGGCCTTTCCTGTTACTTAACTGTAGACCTTCCTTTTTTTTTTTTCCTGGATAAGGAAATAGGTAATTTTATCACCCAGTCTTGTTCATGGAAAAGAGACGTTCTGGGACATTTCTGTGAAGTGAATTGCATTTTGCAGTGCATTTTCCTTGTAAAACTTTGTTCTTAGGGAAAAAGCTTTTCCCTAAGAAGGAAAGAGTAAAACGACTGACCCTTTGGCACCTGGCCCATTTCCACGGTGGTCGGTGTCTGGCATTTCACCTGCTCTCCTGGGGGGGCGCTCACGTGTGGAGTGGGGCTGCGGTTTGTGACGAGGGCTTTTGGTCGATGAGCCTTTGATCAACCTGGGCTCTGGGAATCCCAGGAGGTCCATTGGGGGTTTAGTAAAGTGACAACTTTGTAGAGTTCTAAGTTCTGACCAAATTCTAGATCCCGCCCCTAGCCCTCTCGGTATGTCACGCAGTGGTGTTCGGGGTCCACTCGGAGGCGGAGAAACGTAGGTCACGGTCATACTCAGTCTTCCTCCTCTTTCTTCTAAGTCCCGTGTGTCCCCTTGGCTGCCGGCGTCCGGGTCCCTAGCACCTGTCTCCCTGTATAAGGCTGTCCCCTCCCTTACCCTTGGAGATCCCCACTCCCTCCTCCGTGTCTGCTCTTTCTGCAGATGGCTCAGAGGAAGATCCGAGACATCCTGGCCCAAGTTAAACAGCTGCACCAAAAGGGACAGAGTAACCAGGCCCAGGCGCGGAGGAAGTGACCCGCCCCTGCCCCGACATCGACTCGAGGACGACGGGCTGAAACCGAGGGCGCCTTCTCCCCAGCAGGCCTGAGAATGAGTGGGAATCAGGGGCACGTGGGCTGGGACGTAGATCAGGTTTGCCCACTTGTTTGAGAAAGACGTTCCAGTGAGGAACCCTGATCTCTCTGCCCCGAACCCCCACCCGATCGGCCCGGCGCTGCCCGCCCCTCAGGGTGTCACCGTGGAAATTCTAGCTCAGGGTGCTTTTAAACGTGGATTGTTCTAAGTAAGTTCTTCATTTCCCACCAAGAGGGTGGGCAAGATCCCACTGGGAAGAGAAATAAAATTTCCTTCAGGTTTTTAAAACATGCAGAGGGGTGTTTTAATCAACCTCAAAGAATGGTTTTGCTCTTTGACCCTAAAATCCTTCCAGCCTTTTCCCGCTCGGTTTATTGATTAAAATACCTCCATTCTCATGCCCTGACATAACCTCTTCCTGTATCCACACTAACTGTCTTATCGTGACTGCTACCAGAAAGAGTGGGAACAGATGCATCGCTGAGCTTACGTTGTTGACTCGAAGGGAGAAGACACGTCAGCATTTGTAGTTTTAATTCCGGTCCCTCCCTCTCCAACCACCAGGAACAGCGAGGAATAAAGAGGTGGGGTGGGGGTGGGGAGAAAGATGATTCAAATATAGTAATCCACGTTTAAAAGGAGTGCCCTTGTGGCTGATCCATTCCAGACTACCGTCTCGGAAAATTGGCACAATTCAAAGTTCCCCCCTCTGCAGGGGCTTCCCCGCCGAGACCCCCGCCCCGTCATGTCCCTCCCGCCGTGGAGGTCCCATGTCACGTCCGGGCGCACGTGGGTGGTACTGAGCGCTCAGCGGGATGGGCCGACCGCTGCACTGTCCCTGATTCCCATCATTCTCAGGCAGATTTTATATTTTTTTAAAGTCTATTTTAATGATCGGATGTGAGCACTGGGAAGGGGACGTTTCTCCCCTTGATAAAGTCGCAGTTCCGTGGAGGACCGGAGTGGCCCCAAAGGCTGCCACTGTGCCCTCGCCCTGGCCCACAGGCTCCCCTGAGGGCTGGTTCCCCGAGGCAGGGGTTGTGGGGCACTCCCCCCTCCCCCCGCCACGGCACTGTTCTTCTGGTGGTGGTGGGGTGTGGAACCCAACCCTGAGCTCCCAATAAAGCTAAAGTTCATCATCTGGCATATATTACGAAGACTCAATACATTGGAGAGTATTTGCTTCTGTTTGTATCTTAGAGGCACATTTAACTGACGGCTCCTGCCTCTGCATCATTGGCGTGATGAAAAGGGTGCCTGAGAAAAACAGAATTCAAAATACCAGCAACGTGTTACGTACAAAGGGGTAAATACGCTTAATTTATTAATTTGCCAGCCGCAGTAAGACCCTGGTGGAGGCCCAGCCCCCGTGGGAGACAGCGGCCACCAGTGCCCTGAGGCCAGGCCTCCCCCGCGCGCTGTCAGTGCGGACTAGCCAGGTGGTGCACTTCAGCGACCCCGGACCGTGCGACCGAGAGCGAGCTGGGGAGGCGGGGAGGCCTCTGCGCGTGCGGGGAAGCCCACGCGTGGGGCCCCCTCCTCCCGACATGGCAACGACGGTAACAATGAGACAACCTTGACACGTGGGCGGAGTCAGGTAACGCTGTGCGCAAGTAAACTACCTCAAGGTATGAAGTTACCTCAGCAATTAACTTTCCTTTTTGTCCCCCCCCCCCCACCTTTTTTTAACCTTTTCTTTTTTCTTTCCCTTGGCGGCTTGCTGATATTTTATATAAAAGAGAAAAGCAAAGCAAAAGAGAAGCTGATAGTCTTGAATATTTTATTTTTTTAATGAAAAGAAAAAAATGAGAAAGTTATGTTTCATAATTTCTTAATCTCTTACAACATGAGCCAGTGTAAGCCTTCAGGAACTGTCTGGGGCACAGGCCCTGTGGGAAAGGCAGCGGGGCTGTCTCTGCGGGAGGGGCTGGGGCCGGGGCTGGGGCTGGGGCAGGCCGAGTCGGGGGGCCCAGGGCCAGGCTCCGGGCTCCGGGCTCCGGCTCCAGCCTCTCCCGGAACCCCCAGAGGCACAGCCAGTGTGTGGCGTCCCCTCTCCGGCTCTGGCTGAAGGGCGCGTCCCAGCCGGTCTTTCCCACCAGCGGTACTGTGGAGATACTCTAATAAAATATTGCCTCCGTTTTATCGAGGAGAGAAATAAAAGTAAAAAAAAAAAGAATACCCGTTAAAAATTTATATTTCTCCGTCTAAAACACGGGAGCCAAGATTCTGTTGGTGGAAGAGACAAAGCCACCCCCGAACCTCCGAGAGGTCTGCCTGGTCTGCCATCGCCACGCTTTCCGTTCTCTGTCCTTACTTCTGCCCCTCCTGTCGCTCTCCGCCGCCCGGTCTCTGTTGATCTGGCGGTGGACCCAGCCTTAGGGGGGGATGCTTGGTTTTGGGGTGGTGGGTGGCCAGCCAGGGGCAGGGGATATGGGGATGGGATGGGGGCAGGTCCGTCCCTCATTCATGTCTCGCCCACGGTCTCGCTGTGACAGTCCTTAATAGCCCCCAGGACTGCACTCTACGGAGAGGAGGAAGCAGGGAAGCGTTTAGGGGTAACACCAGGCCAGTGATACTGACGCTTCCCACCCGCCCTAACCACAGGAAAGGGTCTTCCGGCTTCCGTCTCTGGCTCTACAGGCTTAATCCCAAAATGAAGCAGATAACTTTCAGACATCGGCCATTTAGTGATTTAAGGTGAAGTTCCAGCAGCAAGCATGCTTTGATACCTGGTTCAAACCCCCGTCAGGAAAGAGGAAACCCCGCAGTACCCACAACGCGGTTGTCGCAGTGCTCGGTGTGCTTGGGGTCCCGTTCCCGTCGCCCCCTCGGCCCAGGCCGTCCCCCTCGGGCTGGCTCAGCCCCCGGGAGAGACCTGGACGTGTGGCGAGGGACTGTGCCCGCCTTGGCTAGGATTAGACGCGGCTCCACGCATCGCTGATACTTGCCCAGCAGGAAAATCGTGACAGTTAGTGTACCAGAAAGCAAAAGGAACGTGGTTCGGTGGCTAAGGTTTGGCGGGATAAAGGGCTTGTCTTGGTGGGTCCACCTTGGACCCACAGGCCAGGTCTCGGGGCGATTCCTCGCCCTCCTGCGCATCACCTCCATGTCCCCTTCCTTGGTGAGATGACAGAGCTGATGTGAAAAGCACTTGGGAGATTCGTATGATCTGAGAAAAGTGACTTCTGTGCCCTAAGATATATATGTGTGTGTGTGTGCTGCATATATATTTTTAAGAAAAGACCATCTCTTTTAGGATATATTTTTTAAATCTGTGGAACACGTCAAAAACCAAAATGGTTTGACTCAACTGACTTGGAAGCTGCATCTGACGGTTACACCCCGATGGCTTGAATCCCCCCCCGAGGGGCGGCGGCCTTGTGCAGTCTGGGCTGTGGACTCGGCTCCTGTGAGGGCTCCGGGTGGTGGGGAGCCGTGGTCTTGGGGACAGGGAGGCCTTGTCACCTTGTGCCCTGTCCTCCCCTCCTCCCAGTCCTTCCGTCTTCATTCTTTTCCCCTGAGCTCCCCCTTCTGCAGACACTCGGGAGCTGTATTCTTAGTTAGGCCTCACCGTCGGCAGAAGGACTCAGCGTAAAACTCAAGAGAACACCGCGTGGGACACTCCAGGTGGTTCTTTGTGTCCGTTTCCCTCTGTGCCAAAGACAGACGGGCTGAGAGAGGCCGTTTCTGAATCCAAGCAATAGCCATCTTTCCACGTGGACCTGGGCTGTCTGAAAGGGAGAGGGCTCCTGGAGACAGAGCTAGAGACAGGACCCTTCCTTTCTGAGGCTCCGGGGGTGTGGGGGCCGCGTGTGCCAAGGGGTGGGGAGCTGAGAAGGGGGTCCCGTGGCCCCTGGTCGCACTTTGGGGGTGGAGGGGAAGGTCGGAGCTCCTCCACACGGGACTGCTCCCTGTCCCCTGCCCCCACTGCAGAGACGGCACCCGGGTTCCCTTCAGGCCTGGCAGACTGGCAGTGAGGAGGGGCCTCAGTTAGCTCTCAAGGGTGCCTTCCCCTCCTCCCACTCCAGACATACCCTCTGCCAAACTGGGAACTGGCGGTGCTAAGTAACTACCTCACAGAGCCCCAGAGGGACCGCCTGGTCACCCCCTTCCTCCTTTCCTCCAGGGGTGGGGGGGCGTCGCCTCCTTCCTTCTCTCCCTGCCCCCAAAGGTGCTCACAGGGAGACCCTAGTGGCTTTGGCGCCTCCCGCCGTGCAGCTGTCTGGCCTGTCCGGCGAGCCCCGGTGGAGAGGAGAGCGGCACGGCCTGACGCCGCGATTGCAGGAGGTTGGAAGAACAACCCTCCGTGCCAGGGGACAGAAAGCCATTTCCCTTCCAAACGCTTGATTTAGATGCAGAACATTTCTCTTGTATTCAGACGTAGAGCAACACCAGCCGAAAACTTCAGTTTCTGCCCTTTGGATGCGTAAGGCTTCCCTGGGGGGCTCAGGGCAGGCAGGAGGCCTCGCGACCGAAGGTGGATGTGTAGGGTGCGGGCCAGAGCCCCGGCCCTGATGCTCTGCCCTCCTCGGGGGCGAGGTCTGTTGGCACCGGGTCTGGTGACTTGGTCTGTGGTTGAATCCGGACTGACAAGGCAAAAGGAAAGAAGATTCTTTTCGGAGATAGCAGGAGCTCCTTGGGAGCGTGTGTTCAAGTAACTACAGGTGATGGGGGCCACGAGTACGAGTGGATTAACTACCTCAGTCCTTACAGTAAGGTTGGAGCCGAGGGCAGGGCCTGGTGCGGAGGGTAGGAATCCCAGCCGAGAGGAGTGAGTTGAGGCTTGTCCCACAAAAGGTTTGTCCTTGAGGAACAAGGGGGCCTCCAGTGTCCCCCGACTCCTGTCTGTTGAGTTGAGGTGGGGCTGGCCATCGGTTCCCCACTTCCTGCCTTCTTTGCCCTGGGGTCCCCCGTTTTCACCGCTTTGCCTCCAGCTTGTCCCTCTCACCTGCTATATCTTTGTTGGTTGGCCCGGAGGGGGAGGAGAGGAGTTGCCTCCTCTCCCACCGGAGGGGGCTGGCTGGAACCCACCACTCCGCCCCAGAGCCAGGGGGCCTGGGGAAGCCAGAGCTAAGACCTCTTCAACAGGGTTTCTGTGAGATGCTCCGCCCCCACGGCATCCCCCTCCCAGTCTCCACGGAGACGGTGGGCTCTGGAAGGAAGAGGTGGAGCAGGAGCCTTTGTCCTGAGAGCCTGAGGGCCAGGGTCCTCTGGTGGCTCAGGCGTCTTTGTAGTCTGGGGAGTC